TGACGGCTCGCTTTAGACCGTCTTTTTGCCAGGTACCTTTTCTGTGTACTTCGTAATCAAAACTCAACAAACGAAGTATTCTTTTCATACGCTGAACATCTTTGGCTGTGTGTGCCGCAGTTTGTAGAATACATGCAAGTTATGCCAAATCCCTTCTTAGTTATTATTGATGTTAGCTTATGAATCAAATAACACATCTATGAAAATATACATAAGACTAGCCCTAGAAGAAGTTAAATATACTTCCAGGCATACTCTGATTGACTCCGAACGTGTTCAAACAGTTTTTGCATGAAGTGTACACGTTTTATTAATAGGGATGGACACTTTATGCAAAAAATAATGCCAAATTATGCGGGCAAAATCTGGTCAATTATGCGGCCATTATGCGGGTTAAATAGTGAATATATGCGCCAATTATGCGATAAAAAACTGTGAATTTATGCAAATACGTGCAAATATCTGCGAGAAAGACGGAAGAAATGCAAAATTATGCAATATAACAAATTTATTTATGAAAATTTAGTCCTGATATCCAACATCAAAAATTTAAAATGTACCTTGACTTTTGCCGTTGCCTTCGATTTTGTTAAACAGCGTAAATATATGGTAAAAAGTGTAAAACCGACTGAAAATTAAGATGTTTTTGTCAGATTATGCGCTTAAAATGCGAGTTATGCGGTTATTATGCGAGAAATGCGAGAAACGGCAAATTATGCGTTTTTATGCGACCTAAAAATGAGTCCTTCTAAGCACCCCAAACTCAGATCTGTTCATATTTTTTCATTCTGAGCATTTTACAAAATTATGCGTTTTATGCGCTTGCATAAAGTGCCCATCCCTATTTATTAACTAGCTATATGTACGCCAGACCACGTCTCGCGTAACAGGCTTCGCGATATCTCACGAAACACTGTTACGCTGCGACGCGCCTGGCGCACATATAGCTAGGCCTGCGGCGCTGACACCCGAGACGAGGTAATAGGAGTGTATATACAATTTTTCGAAATGGAGTCTTTTTAACGATTTAATCGACTATTTGATCATTTTTACCTCATGTTTGTCAAGAAATGCCCCCTAGCACCTAAACGGTACAAGATAGAGCCAAACGGGCGAAATTTTCGCCCGTAGGGCTCTACTTTGACGGTTTACCCTTTAGGAACCCATAAAAAAATATTTGATAAACATACATTTTGCGACCTGTAGTTTTTGATTTTTTAAAAAGCCAATTTTTGAGCTAGAATGCTCATCTTCGAACTCGATCTGTCTTTTTATGACACAAAACGACCCTGAAA